GGGAGCAGCCACTGCACTCCAGTCTGGGTGATGGAGTGAAACTCCAACTCAAAAAAGGAAAAGAAAATGAAACTTACCTATTCCAACTTCATGGCAGGGAGAATAGGTAAATGATATAAAATTTAAAAGTACAAGAGGGTTAGGGTGACTGTCACCCTCCTTCACTGGTTTCCCCCCACCCAGAGGAAACCTGTGTGCCCCTTTAGTCACACAAAATACAGCTGTATGCATCATATTTTTCCCTTAAAAATGGTAACATTGGAGGTTGTCCCTTGGTGCTACATACAGTGTCATTTTTTATAACAGCTACTTAGTATTTCATTTCATGGATGGCTTATGATTTTTGTTTTTTTTAGTCAGAGTCCTACTCTGTTGCCCAGGCTAGAGTGCAGTGGCACACTCACAACCACCCCAGCGTCAACCTGCTGGGCTCCAGCGATCCTTCTGCCTCAGTCTTCCAAGTAGCTGGAACTACAGGCGTATGCTACCATACCTGGCTATTTTTGATTTATTGTAGAGACGAGGTCTTGGCAAGTGTCCCGGGCTGGTATCAAACCCCTCGACTCAGGCAGTCCTCTTGCCTTCTCCACCCAAAGTGCTGAGATGACAGGCATGAGCCACTGCGCCAGCCGCCTAATTTTTAAAAAAAATTTGTTGTAGAGACACATTCTTACTATGTTGCCCAGGCTGGTCTTGGACTCCTGGGCTTAAGCAGCCCTCCTGCCTTGGCTTCCCAAAGTACTGGGATTACAGGCATGAGCCACGGTGCCCAGCCTACCATTTTATATTTCACATTCCCACCAGTAGTGCACAAGATTTCCAGTTTCTCCACTTCTTGTCAACACTTGTTTTCTTCTTCTTTCCATGTAGTCATATCTACACTATCTTCCCTATGCGTCCACACACCATACTTTCTCTGTTGAGCCATTGGACATTGCAGCCATCATCACTGGTATCTTGATGAACAGAAGTTTATTATTTTAATTGATATTTGTCTTGAAAATATCCTTTCCTTCCCTATGATTGGAAGAAAGTCTTTCCAAATTTTCTTGTAAGATAGTTTACATTTTGCATTCAATAAGCCCTTAAACTCCTGGTGGTTAATTTTTGTTATGATGTAGGGGTCAAATTCAAGGTTTCCCATGAAATAACCTTGACAAAGAATTGTATTTTACTTGACTTGTGTGTTCTTTTGTCTCTTTTGTCCTTTCACTTTATTTTCTTGTTTCCAGTTTCTCAGTTGGCTACTTGACTCGTACATTTTCAGTCTTTTCTAATTTCATAGCATACACAACATTTAATACTACACATATTTTACAAAGTCTCACTTTTGTTCACCCATTTTTAATTTTATTTTTTGAGTTGCTCTCACTGTTGCCCAGACCGGAGTGTGGTGGCATGATCACAGCTCACTGTAGCCTCAAAATCCTGGACTCAGGCAATCCTTCTGCCTCAGCCTCTCACATAGCTGAGACTACAGGCATGCATCACCATGCCCAGCTAATTTTTTTGTAGAGACGAGGTCTTGCTATGTTGTCTAAGCTGGTCTTGAACTACTGAGCTCCAGCTATCCTCCCACCTCAGCCTCCCAAAGTGCTGGGATTACAGGTGTGAGCCACTGCGCCTGATTCCTGTTAACCCAAGGTTTGAGTGATATGTTTTAGTATTTGGTTCTGGGTGTTTTTTTTGTTTTTTTGTTTTTTGAGTTGGAGTCTCACTCTGTCATCCAGGCTAGAGTGCAGTGGCAGGCTCACAGCCACCACAGTCTCAACCTGCTGGTTTCAGGTGATCTTTCTGCCTCAGCCTTACAAGTAGCTGTAACTACAGGAACGTGCCACCACACCTGGCTAATTTTTTTTATTATTTTATTGTAGAGATGAGGTCTCTTCAAGTTGCAGGCTGGTCTTGAACTCGCAGGCTCAGGCAGACCTCTCACCTCAGCCTCCCAAAGTGCTGGGATTACAGGCGAGAGCCACAGCCTTAACATGTCCATTATGGTTTCTTTTTTGATATATGAATCATTACATAAATGTTTTTAAAATTTCAAACACAGACCTTTAAAATTTTTAAAAATTTATTTCTAACTTAATTGTATGTGGTTACAAAGGATGGTCTATTTGAAATGGATTCTTTAAAATTTGGTAAGATTTGCCTTATGGCTTAGAATGTGATCAGTTTTTGTGACTATTCCACATGTTCTTAAAGTCATATTCTCTGGGCCAGGTTTAGTGGCTCAGCCTGTAATCCCAGCACTTTGGGAGGCCGAGGCAAGTGGACTGCCTGAGCCTGTGGGTTTGAGACCAGCCTGGGCAACTTGGCGAGACCTTGTCTCTATAGTAAATAAAAAATTAGCCGGGTGTGGTAGCATGCACCTGTAGTTCTGGCTACTTGGAAAGCTGAGGCAGAAGGATCGCTGGTGCCCAGCAGGTTGACGCTGGGGTAGCTGTGAGTGTGCCACTGCACTCCAGCCTGGGCGACAGAGTGAGACTCCAACTCAAAAAAGACATATTCTTTGGATCTGTGAGTCCAATAAATTCAAGTCTTCATTTTTCCTAACCATTTGTCTGTGACATTTTGATGAGTAGAAGTTAATCTCCCCCTGGGATGGTAGAGTTATTAATTTATCTAGGTGGTTTTGTTTTCTTTATGTAGTTCAAGGCTAACTTATAAAGTGTACACAAATCTAGAACTGCTAGATTTTCCTGGCAAGTCAGCCATTTTATTATGATGTATTGACCCTTTCTATCTCTGATAATAATTCTGTCTTCGTCTAGTTTGTCTAGCTAATTAGTATGGCCTTCCTAGCTTTATTGTGATGAGTATTTGCTATATCTTTTTAACATCCCTTCACTTTCAGCCCTCCAGTGACATTATGATGAGGTGTGTCATCCCTTAAAAATCATGTAGTTGGACCTTTTCAGTGTAGTCTGACAGCCTTCATCATTTAACTTCAGAGCTTAGTCTATTTATATTTATTGTGATTGCTGACATATTTGGCCTTGTTTCTACCGTCTTTTTTACCTTCTATTTGTTTCTTTTCTATTGTTGCCATTGACATTGGCTGTCAGCCTAACTGTCATTCCTTTATAGGTGGTCTGTCTTAACTCCCTGGCTGCTTTGTGATCTCTTTGTTTTTGGTGTCCTGCAGTTTCACTACACTGGGTCTAGGTATGGATTTCTTTTTATTTATCTGGTTTGACAGTTTGTGTGTGTCATTCATTCCACAGACTTCTTAACCATTCTTTTCCAAGAACTTTTGTCCTTCATTTCCTCTCTTCTCTCACTCTGGGACTCTGATTTAACTCGTGCTTTGCTTACTATTCTGTCCTTATCTCGTCTTCCCTTTATATTTCCCACCTTGTCTCTCTGAGTTGGAATTTGAGTGATTTCTTTAGATCTGTTTTCCAATTCATCAATTCCTTCTTTGGCTGTTTCTAATATAGTATTTAACAAGCTATTATTTCAATAATTCCGTTTTTCCTTTAGGAAGGCTTAATTTAGTTCCTTTGCAAGTCTACCCAGTCATCTGAAGGTAGTCTCACGTTACTCTTATTGTGATTCCAGCTTTCATGTCCTTAAATCATTTAACACATAATTGACAGTGCCAACTTCTGAAGTTCTTGAGACCTAAACTTACTTATTTTTTCCGCTGACTCTTCTTTATGGTGATTGGTTTCTTTGTGTGTTTGGTGTTTTTGGTTGCGAGCTCATATTAATTTGGTCTTACTCTTTGGAAAACCTTGGAGCCTGAGTTTGAGGGTTCCTTCCTCCAGAAGGACTTTGGTTTTGTCCTGCAGGAGTCCTTCATCCCTGTCCAGATTCCTGCTAAATTCTAGGAAGCTTGGGCTCAGCGGCGCCACCTTGTGTCCCCAGCCCCACTGGTGCACTCTTCTTTTCTTGAAAAGAGTTCTGCACAACCAGAACACAAAGTTGTCCCTGTTCCCGGCCCAGGGTTTGGCCACCACTGGTGCGCTCCTACTTGGGTAGCAAAAGGACATCTGGGAGGCAAGCAGAGTGGACTTAGATACCCTGAGAACCCATTCTTCTCTGTCCTCTCCTCAACTTCCCCAGGCCTGGCCAGCATGACCCAGAACTTGGAGCCACTTCTAAAGAAGCAGGGCTGGGACTGGGCGTGAGTCCTGGGAATGGGGGGTAGGGAACAAGGGCGGGCTGGGAACCTCCCAGGGTCCTACAGATGGGCTTCTGACTGGCTGTGGTGACCCTCTGAGCTGCTGTTCTCCACAGGGTCCCTCTGGTCAAGCTGGCCATCCGCCTGGGGCTGGCGGTAGCGGGCTCCGTGCTAGGCGCCTTTCTCGCCTTCCCTGGCCTGCGGCTGGCCCAGACCCACCGTGATGCGCTGACCATGTCGGAGGACCAGCCCATGCTGCAGTTACGTGGGTGGCCCGGTGGGTGGGGGCAGACGGGCCCCAGGGGCGAGGCCGGGGAATGGCGGGTGCCGGCCTCACTCCTTCCTGCCCTCGCCCTCCAGGCTCCTCCTGCACACCAGCTTCCTGTCTCCCCTCTTCATCCTGTGTCTCTGGACGAAGCCCATTGCCCGGGACTTCCTGCGGCAGGCGCCCTCTGGGGGGACACCCTCCCCCCTGGGCGTCCTCAGGTGCTGGGAGGACAGCTGGGGCCCCTCTGTGTACTCGTCTCTGGGGCTCAGGGAGAGCCAACGGGGAGACCCTGGGGCTGGGGGACGGGCTCGTTAGCCGCCTCCCCCTGCGCCCCTCTGCACAGCCTGTCGGACTCTGCCTTCGACTCCATGCGCCTCTGGGTGCTGGTGGCGCTGTGTCTGCTGCGGCTGGCGGTGACCCGGCCCCACCTGCAGGCCTACCTGTGCCTGGCCAAGGCCCGCGTGGAGCGGCTGCGCAAGGAGGTGGGCCGCATCGAGGCCCGCGAGATCCAACGACGGGTACGCACAGCCTCCGCGGGCAGGGGGGGAGCCCGAGGCCCGGGGGGCTGGGTCCCTCAACCCAGAAGGCCCCCGCTGCAGCCGCCGCCGCGCCCTGCCCGCCAGGTAGTCCGGGTCTACTGCTACGTGACCGTGGTGAGCTTGCAGTACCTGACCCCGCTGATCCTCACCCTCAACTGCACGCTTCTGCTCAAGACCCTGGGTGAGAGGCCCCGCGAAGCAGGGGGAGGGAGGGGCGGGGCCGGCACCGGAGCGGCCTTGGAGGCGGGGCCTGCGGGGCAGGCCAAGTCCGGGCTGGAGGCGGGGCCGCGGCAGGAGGCGGG